ATCCTGTGCTGAGCCTCGATTAGCTGAACAAAATAAGTGGCAGGGAAAGATATGGAGGTCATGCTTATTTGAACCCCAAATTTTATTAATTACCATCTGTTAACCTCCTAGAAGATGAATGTACTTCTTTTATAAAAGGTATCTTTCTATTTGGAAGATAGTTACTGTTATTTTGCTGGATGTGAGAACTAACACTGTAGTGAATAAATATTAGCCGGATATTTATTTACTTTGCATGTTCAATCATCACCAGCTATATATCATATAGAAATAAATATTTTTATACTTTATACTTTTTTATTTTTATACTTTTTACTTATATTATCGTTGTCATTGAGGACTTTTATTGAGCCCATTTCCTTACAGATTTATGTCACATCTTTCTTCTGAGCATTTCAGAATCCAAACTATGGCCTCAAGTTTGAACTCCTGACTTCAGATGTTTTCTCCTCAAAGACAAACTTCCCCCTGCACTACTTTTGTTCACAAACTTATAAAAATTCCCATGCACCCAAATTTGATTAACTATCCCATTTCTTATGTTCCTACTTATTCTGGCTCTTGAATTGTTTATTTAAATCTTACTTTTTTGTCACAACCCAAATCATCCTCCTGAGGTCCCATTAATGGACTTAATCCAGTTCCTACAGTGATGAAAACACATCAGCTACAGGAAAGGAAATGTAAGTTTTAGGAAAACTCTTTGGGTAAAGTAGGCTACAGTAAGAAAAAGTAAAGGTGATACCAGAGCATGGATCCGACAAGCCTCTGGTTCGAAAAGTTCAAAAACAGTTCCAGTTACTGGTGCTAAACCTAGGTGAGGGTACGTATTGATATTTTAAAAAGTTATCTGAGAGGGGTTTTTTTTTTTTTTTGTACTGGGGATCGAACTCGGGACCTTGCGCTTGCGAGGCAGGCGGCGGAAGCACTGAGCTAAATCCCCGGCCCTCTGAGAGGGTTTTTAAATTTTTAATATTTGTCAATTTAAAAATTGCAACTTAAAAAAAAACATTATTTTGACATTTTAACACACAAAGGAAGACTTTCTCTCCTGTACCTTTAACAATCACTATGTTGGATTTTCTCTCACCCCTTTAAGACAAAACAGAGGTTTGCCACCAGCTTCTCTCCTGGACAAAGCCTGATGCTGAGGCCAATCAAGAGGCTCACTGTGATTTGCTATACTCTGCAGTCTACCGCCGCTTTGCACTGTCCATCCGCCGCAGACGGCGAGCAAAGCACTGTAAAAACCCGACCTTAATGTAACCTGAGTATTTAACTAGAATAAGATTCTTTATAAGCCCCCATAAATAGCACTTGTAATTTGGTTCAATTAAAGTTTTAGTGGCCATAAACTAGGAAGACTGATTAAACCCAGGCATGATTAAATTCAAATCAGGTATTTAGCAAGTCTCTTATCCTTTCTAAGTACCAGTTTCCACAAGGATGATGTGGTATCGATACTGCCATCTCAGAGGTGGTTCTGAGGACTTTGTATGCTATTGTTTGAGACACGTTCAACACATTAAGTACTGATCAGGAGATGCGAACCATAATGTCAGGAATGGTCAAATTCAACATTGTGTGGGGGAAAAAAGAAGAGCAAAATCAGTCTCCTACATTACAAATCCTTCAACCTCACCTCTTTGGCAAGTTGCATTTTGTCCATAAACACAGGCAAAAATAATTTTATATACAATTAAAATGAAAGGAAGAGAAAGAACACATATCCCCAAGAAGAATAAAATAGATAATTGGATTCTAATATATGTTGAAATACTATTTTAATATTTGTATAAAATACTTGCTGTTTAAAGAGAATGTTGCAATAAAGGAATAAAAGAACTTAGAATATCTTCTCATGAACTTGAATGCAAATTACTTTTCCTAATGGATTTTTAAGTTTCTGCTGCATTTTAAGAACACTGCTTTTACCTTCCTGACTCGCTCTTTTATAAACAGAAGTGAGAATACAGTTGATTCTCTTCCTTTCTCTACTTGTTCTGTCCTTTTGATTACCAGATAAAAGCTTTACATCTAGAAGTACAATTCCATTGTTTGTAAACTATTTTTTTTCAGACTTGACTTTGGCAGAGCATTCGAGAGATTCTTTATAAAGGTGCTGACATTTTTGAATCACCAGCAGTTTAATCTGGGGGAAGGTAGCTGAATTAGACCTATTAACTTCAATTGGAATTGAACAATCATCCTGGGAAAGCTTGTCCAAGTGGAAATGAGTATAGTCAAATTTCAGGCAAGGGATATGAGAACATCTGAACGATGCGATCCAGAGTGCTAGAATCTCATCTATTAGGCACGCCCAGAAGCTTGTTTCAAGCCCATATAAACAATGAAAATAGCTGAAAGACAAAATAAAAAGAGGTTTGGGATGTCCCTGGGTATTTCATTTAGAGGAGAAATGATTTAAAGTAGCCATAAACTACCCTTAACAAAATCAGATAATGTTAGGATGGGTTATATTTAGTATAGAAGTCACAACTCAATATTTTCTCAAAATGTGGCTGAATTAGTCCTTAGGGGTTTATAGATTTACCATGCTATAGACAAAGGGACATTTTTAAAAAATGAACAAATACTCTCCTATTGTTAAATATCTGAGGGAAATTGACATTTAAAAGGCCTAGTTTTTCCAATACTTTTGCAAACACATAATTGATTTAGCACATAACTTCTGTAAATCCAAAATACTATGTGTGAATTTTATTTTATTTTCTATCTTTAGGAGAAGCGTACATCTATGTTGTATAGCTATCCACTTCCATAGGCAGGTATGCACGTATCCTTGTATCAATTAATTTAGTAATCTATAGGTTTGGGGACTAATTTTTTAACACAGGATAGTGAAATGGTAATACTTTTGTGCCTAGAAACTCTCCATTTCTGCCATGTGAGGATTCAGGTCACTCCTTGTTCCAACACGAAGTTCAGGATTCTCTTAGCACTGGTAAACAGTAATACCTTGAGTTACAAGTAACTTGTTCTGTGAATGTTCTGCAAGATGAGCAAATAGTTCTAATAAATTTGAACTTGGTAAACAATCAGTGTCTTGAAATATGAGCAGTACATGACATCGAACATCACATCTGAGCCAATGATTCATTTCCTCTCTCTCTCTCTCTCCCCATCTCTCTGTCTCTCACTATGGGATTGTGGGTGATCATCTCCCAAAAGCAAGAGGTTATGGAGGAGATCTCGTCTGCAAAGGAGGAGAAGGAACAGGAACTTCTCACCTCAAATGAGGTTAAGGAGATGTGTAAAATATTGAAAACAGTGCAAAATCTTGTAGGAAAGCACCACCCAAATAATAAGGCTGTAGCAGTGTGGGTGATGGATCTGTTTATCAACAATGCAATGTCACTTTTCCGTGAAATCCTCAAAAGGAGGCAGGTTCTTTGTTAAAGTGCCATGAAAAGAAAAAGATACCATTGGGCCCAGTGATTCCCTTAGTGATAGTGAAAGTCATCCTACACAGTAACTGTTCTCCCTTGTCTGCCTCACACCAGCCATGAAGATTTTCCAAAGCAACTACAAGTTAATTTGTTTATCTTTATATTTTGTATTTTCTATATTATTTTGTATTACATGACAATATTGTAATCATTTTTGTATGAATATTTTTCAGTTGTGGAATGAATCATCCGAGTTTCCACTATTTCTTATGGGGAAATTCACTTTGATATTCAAGTACTTTAGATTACAGTCATGTTTCGAGCATATAAATTATGCTCGTAAATCAAGGTTTAACTGTACTTCCTAATTTCTACTAAACACATGCCCCCCTCAAGTGAATAGAAGAAGTAAGTGGAATCTTTCAGAGGTATGAAGTTAAACTATAGAGTATGTGGTATAAAACAGGGGAGTAGAACAAGTCATGGAACTAGTGGATCTAGCTTGCTTCCACACCTCTACTTAATGTATGAAGCTCTTGTGTGATTGTGGAGCAACAAATAACAAGCAAACACTACCATTTCATGAAGGTGATACTTTAGCAAAAGCTGGAAGAGGTCATGTGATGATAAGCTAAGGATGCCAAACTTCGAAATTTGATAGAAATGTAATAAATTAGCATCTCACTTCTAAGAATGCAGGATTTATGAAGTCTCTAAGCAATGTAACCACAAAAGTCAAAGGTATATCTGAGGGTCAAATGTTCACTTTGAAGAATTGAATAATTCAAAAAGAGATGTGTGTATTACAAGAAAGGAGATAATGTCTTCACCAGCGATTGTACCTGTGATGTGAAATGCATTTCATAAAATGGCACCAGTTGTATTATATCATTAAATTCACTTCCTAAAGACAAGAATATGTTATTGTAGCATTTGCCATAGTTATCAAAGACATACAGAAAAGAAACACTCTAATTAAGCTTATTTTCCCCCCACTGGGCAGTAAATTATTGACCAAACTTAATTGATCTGGTCACATAGATAAACAGTTATATAATCCATTCCCAGTGAATTATTAACCTGCTTGAAGATTGTGGTAAACTGAAAGAATATATAAATACATAATACATATTAGTTTATGATTTAAAATTTGCTAATAACTCAGAAAATTTTATATAAAATGTCCAAACAGAAAAAGTAGAAAAATACATTTATCTCAAAGTTGCTTTTACTTTTAAAGAAAAGAGTAAAAGAAACACAATTCTTCTAGGAAATTGTATATATTTTATGATAAGCCTGCTCATATACTACCATAGAATATTATAGAATAAAATAGAATATAGAATCTTCAAGCAAAACCCCCTTTTAAAAAACAAAAAATCAACTCCACATATTGATTGTAAAACTGAATCTGTGCCAAAATTACTTGCTCATTTTAAGAACAATTTTTAAAATGTTAATATTATAAAATTAGTAATTGCAAATATTTTAAAACCCAAATTGATCTATGTGACTAATAATTTTAAAAATTCTTCTTTTATCATTCATATTGTCTTCTCCCCTCCCCTGAGACAAATTTCTGAATAATACCTGTTGGGGACTGGGCTATGTCACTCAGATCTCACAGTCTGGAGGTCAGTGTTATCTTGCCTTGGGAACAGGAAAGTATGCAGAAGGTCGCATGCCTCCTGGCCATTGGCAGAATGCCGATAACCCAGCGCTCCTGAGGCAAGACAGCATCTGTGGAGGACAGCTGTCCATATACAGGCATTTGGGTGAAGAGAAAATCCGGTTTCTCTTTAATCTAATCCTTACCCCCCCATTCTCTATAGTTGCTGTTCCATGAAGGATGTGCTACCCCTCCTCTGAGCTTCTCACTGCCTAGTAAAAGAAGGCCAACCCTGGAGTTTCTGCCTTGGAGCACACTAACCATAGACTAACCTCTGAAATTGTGTCAAGACAAATCTCTCACTCTTTAAATGGTGAATGTTGGCTATTTCGTCCCATCGATGTAAATGCAATGCAAAAGATGATAAAGAATACAGTTTGTGTTTAATCAAAGAAATTATTACAGTGAAAGAAACATTATTATTAATCCCCTTAAAATACTTCCCTTCACTTATAACACTTTTATCTCATTGTTTGCTACTCTGTGAACTAGCTCTGAGTGTCCTCTTTCCTGTCTTTGTAGGATGTAAAAAGAATACAGTGAATGCTGCTTCCAAAAACCATCTAACAGAAAGGCAGGCTCATAAAAACATTATGTTTTCCCATCCAAGCACTAACCAGGCCTGACACTGCTTAGCTTCCTGAGAACAGATGAGATAGGGAGCATGAAAGGTGGTATGGCCATAGACAGAAAAACATTATGATATGTCTTTGTCTAATTTATTCACTGGATCTGACATTGTGCAACTCCTGCTTCTACAATGTCAAAATGATCATGAACGACACAAGTTTTCAATCAATTCAGGACATCAAGACAGCCACAACAGGGCAACTCAGGAAAGAGAATTTATAGAACTACTTCAAAAAGTGCCAAGAATAGTGGAGGAAGTGTATTTGAAGCAAGGATATTGACAATATGTCTTTTACTGTAATATTTTTTTAAGTTGAAATCACCATATTTTTCAGCACACCTCAGAAGTGGACTTTTGGAAGGTCATTCAATCATGGGTTTGATATATTCATCAGTGGAATACTCCATTGATTAGTTCCTAGTTTAGAGTTCTATTAGGAGGTAGGAATTGATTAAAAGAGGTACATCATTTGCAGTGTGCCTTTGGATGGTGCATCTCCCTCCCCAGCTCCTTCTCTGTGCTTCCTGCTACTATGATATCAGAAACTTCACTCTATCCGCCTCCTCCACTATGCAGTTTCTGTTGTAGAGCTATTACCATGAATCCACTGAGACCTCTGAACAGTGAACCAAAATAAAACTGTTCTCTTTTAAATAAAAGGTGTCAAATATTTTGTTTTAGCAACAAGAAATCTGACTAATACAGAAAATGGTACCAGAGAAGTGAGATCATTGCTGGGACTGTATATGACCATGTGGTTTAGGAGCATTTGGAAATGGTTTGCCATAGGAGTTTGCAAAGCTTTGGCAATGTGAGTTAGAGAAGCACTAGAATGCTGTAAGCAGAGCCTGACATATGCTTCTGTCAGAGCTCCTAAGATCAGAATGCTGATAGAAATGAAAAAAGTAAAGGCCAGGCTCAGGAGGTTTCAGTTGAGAACAGTCTCCACTGGGAATCCAGCTAGAAACGATGTGTGTTACACTGTAGCAGAAAAGGTGCCTACATTTCGCATGTCCTGAGAATTTGCAGAAGACTGATATTAAAGCTGGTGGACTGATTAATCTGGCAGAGGAAATTTCAAGAGAGCCCAATATTCAGACTGTGGGACAGGTTCTCTTGGTTACTTTTAGCCAGATTTATAGGGAAAATTGAAGGCAAAATATTGGGCAGAAAAGTTTGGGCTGAAAGGAGCCACATGCAAATTTGGATCAAAAATGTGTTGCTGTAAAGATTAATACTGCTAAGAAGCCAAGTGCTATAATTTGCATTTGGAAATTGGAAACAATACATCTCAGGAAATGGCCTAACCACAACTGTGGTAAACTATGAAAGACTGCTTTGGGAAGAGAGCCCCCCAAGGCACACTGCTTATTCAGGCCCACCATGGGAGTGTTTCCCAAATTAAGCCATCCAGCCATTCAGAGTCTACTACAGCCATGTTCTGGGGGTGCTGGTTACTGCTCCTGCTGACAGCAGATTTTGGTGGTGTCTACATGATGCTGGTTTTATTGGCATGCACAATGCAAAAGCTGTGGGGTCAAGGAGGCTTCCTTCTAGATTTCAAAGAAGGCCAGGGGGACTAAGCAAGGTGCTCCTGAAAGGGCAATGCATAAAGCTATGGGAATGGAACCAAAAGTGTGATGGAGACTATAAGAAGTTGGAGATACCAGGAAAGGGGATCATCTGCTGAGGAAAGCTGCAGGCAGTGCATTGAGACAGCCCAAGAAAAAAGCCACTTGAGCTGCAGCCAGCAATGCCACAGGTATCAGGGAGCCCCAATGAAGCCTAGGGTCTTAATGAAGACAAAGATAAATAGTAAATTCAATGAGGCTTGCATCAGAGGCCTGAAGTCAAAGCTTTTAGTGAGCAGAGACTCTGAACCTCTGGATGTGGCAGTATTTATTGAGAACAAAGCAGCAGGGGACATATGATCAGGTATGTAAGTGATGATCGGACATGCTGACGTGAGTGAGGCCTAGCAAGAACAGAACAAAGCCTTCTTGCAAGAAGTGAATTTTAGGTTAATAGGAACTTACTCTTTCCCTAGATTAATATTAACTTTTTATAGAGGATGAGCAAGAATCATGGAGTCCAGCTGCAGATGCTATCAGCTAATACAGGCACCACGGTGTCATTGACCAAGATTGGTCTCAGCAGTGGCCAGTGGCATGTGGAGTTCTCTTTCTTCATGCCAGCTGCAGCCATTAAGCTGTGCACCTAAGCCTCAGACCAGCTCTGAATTATAAGTATAAGCCAGTTGTAATAAGCCAATTGAATATAATCAAAGCCTGCTCAACACCATCTTATGGTAGTCTCCTTCAATAGTGACAGTGCTTAGGAATTCACATCTGCCCACAACCTGCCCTGGCTGCTGAACATGGACCTACAGTATTTACCATTAGTTTTTCTGGGTTTGGGCCTTTTTATTTTTTGGTCCTATTCCTTTTTTATCCCATTGTTCCACCCCTTTGGGATAGAAATGATTACCCTGTGTCCTTATATGTTAGTTAGAAGTATTCAAACTTTATTTTACAGGGGATCCCAACTAGGAGTTTGCCTTGAGTATTTGCAGTTGGACTTTCCAGCACTACTGACACTATTAAGATGTTGCAACTCCTAGAGGCAAACTAAAGATATTTTATATAATTAGATGGACATGAACTTTTTGAGGTTCAGGAGCACAATGTTTGTTATACTTTAGATCTAGAAAGTCCTCCAAAATATCATGTGTTCAGAGGTGGGCTTTTTGAAGGTGACTGGATTCTGGGGTCACTATGCTCATCAGTGGATTGATCTCTGCATGAGTTCAGAGCTAAATGTGTTGTTGGAGTGTGCCCTACTTGGAAGTGTTGTGTCACTAGGGGACATGACTTTGGAAGCTATATCTCCTTCTCTGCCTTGTCCCTCCTCTCTCTGCATCCTGGTTGCCTTAAAATGAAGAAATTTCTTCTGCCCTGCTGTGCCACTTCTTCATTGGAATCACCGACTCTGTATGTACTGAGACGTGTGAACTGAGAACCAAAATAAACTTCTTTGTTTTCAAGTGATATCTAGAATTTTGTCCCAGTCTCAGGAAAGTGACTAATCCACAGCTTCAGAATTGTAAAGTGCAGACATCCCCAGAGGAATACCTGACTCATGTCACAAAGCTGGTAAACAAGGTAGGGCAAGAGTCCTATGTGCCAGAAGCAGAAAACACACAAGATGAAAGACATCTCATCTTACCCCTGATGCCTGCAGCTGTGTTGACCAGAGATGGTATCATACTCAGGACATGGGTCAGACAAGAACTAAAAGACTTCCAGTCCAAGTGAGATTTTCATTTCTCTTTTATTCTAATCTGATTAATGCAGTGAACTGATTAATGCAGTTAAGAATGCAGTTAAATATTTTTACAGTAATACTTTTTACGGTATTACTTTGCACAGTAATACATTTTAACATTTTACTTCCATATTTTTTACCTTATGCTATATGTTGGAGTTTCATTTTCACTTTTTTATTGTTTTTTTTTTAAATTCAAAATCATTCTTAGGGATGAGAGAGTTAAAGTAGCTGATCTGTCATCCCATTCTCTCCAAATATTGAGCAAGATAAAGATATACTGAAACACAGCAAAGTGATTCCATCTAAAATGCTTATGACCATGCCTACATCTTAGAATGCCTTCTTTGAAGTTTTATTTTTGCTTTTATTAGTACATGTTTAAGGTACATGACAATTACATTCATTGTGGAGAGTCGGTACATGGACACAACACATCTTTCCCTTCTCTTCTTCCTCTCCATCCCTTGGTTCTCTTCCTGTTTGCAAAAGATCTCTCTCCCCATTTCCAATTATCTATCTTTTATTTTGTTCTTTGAATTATTTATACTTTGAGTTTCTCATATAAGAGAAACCATGCAATTTTTAAGCTTCTGTGTCTAATTCTTTCACTTCACATTATCGATATTACAGAGTGTTTCTGGTAGACTACTGTGGTAAAAAAAATTTTTAGAATCTATGTTTATGGGACATGACTTTCTTTAAAATGACTTATGCCATACATTTATTTGTGGTATGCAATAAAGTATTTCATAGCCTAAACTGTCTGTATCTTTATTAGGGATCATACTAATCCCTCGGGCCAAAGAGTATGTGGCTGATGTAATGAATGAATCTTCAGTGGCCTATTCATATTCCTGGTTTGCTTATGTCTCTTAATCTTTATGTTCTTGCAATTATTAGTAAATGCTACGTATTGGGAAAGGTCTTGGATCAATTTGAATCTTTGTTGATAATTCAATCCTTTGTGTTGGTTCAATTTAAAATATCATTTAACTAAAAAAAAAATGCCTTGAAACAACCCAAT